CGAGGCAATAGAAACGCTGCAGACTTACTTAAAGAAACTCCACCCCAACAGGCTGTCTGGTCAGAGGCTTTTGCAGGATGGTCATCAGTGTCTTAGACACTTAGCCTTTAAGTCTGCTCAGAGGACAATCAGTGCAAGCTAAAACACAATGTTCCTGCTGTGCTGGTACTCACACTTTTCCTCCGACTGCAAAAGCAACAGCACTGGCATTACAATTATGGGAAAACTGAACACTATTTGGGATGTTATCATTTTATGAAAAAAATGGCAATACAGCAAAATGCTTATGTTATATTATTATTAAATGTATTATATATTCCTTGTGTGTATCAAAAGTTACTGTAAAGAATTTTTTCCCGGTATCTCATAAATTTTAAGAATAATTTTTTTGAAAATACCATGCATAAAGAAAATGACAAGATGATAAGCAGCTAGAGCAATTTTTTTAACACTAACAACAACTAGATGATTAATAAGTTTGAAATCAATGCTAAAAAATGTTGCTAAAATGACACAAAATTGTTCCAAGCAATCTTCCCATAACTGTTTTATGCTGCAATCTGTAGTACATATATAACTCTATTTTTTCTATCAGAATTTCTATAGAATTTCTATTAAAAAACTGTATATTTCCCGGACATGCAGTACATAACAGAATATGACCTTGAAGAAAACAAAACACTAAGAGAAGCCACCAGGACAGCAAGCCAGGACCTGCTCCCATCTACAGTCAAAGCTGTTTTGTTTCCAAAATAAACTAATATTTAATGATGCATTTTCTATTACTGAATTTTGATATTCATGCCTTCCAAATTGTACCTCAAATGGGACTCAACCAAAATTTAGAAAAAAATTAAAGTGATTTGGAATATCTGTCCTCAAAGTCTTCAACACTTCAAGCTAAAAGGCTTCCCAGGTGTCCCATATCTCAACAGCTTCTCCTGCTCAGAAACACACAAGGCTGAGCTGTGCATCTCTTGTCTAAGCTACACCACAACAGAGTGTGAATGTGCCTTATTCTGCTCACTAGAGGATTTGAGTCCTTAAATATTTCTGTCACAGACTGACAGCACTGCATTTAAAACTCCAAGGGCTGCTCATGGGTTTGTTTGGTCTGGAACCCCAAATCTGCCTCTTGCTAGAGCACTCCCTCTTGTTCAGAACTCACCTCTGCCTTCCCTCTTATTTTCTTGCACATTGAGATAACTCCTAAAAAGGATGCTTTAACTTCGTGTGGTACTATGGCTTCACACTTTTCTTTGCCATACAGGGGTCTTAGATTACAAGTCTTAAGCATGTGTCCTGGGTCTGGACTTCCACAAATGATTGTGCACTATCATTTATTTCCAAGAAGAAATGCAAGGTATTTTGAATGACTAAAACTATTTCATAATTTAAGGTAAGAAATTAAATTAATTTTCTATTATGGCTACCGATTTGAAACCACAGACTACCTGAAATCATTTTTAATTAGTGTAAGAACAGAAAACTGTAATAAATTATAGTCACAGAACTTCCTTTAACTTCCAAAAACACTTCTGCAATTTATTACTGATTTTTGTATAGAATACAGCAATGAATCAAATATAAAATAATTCAAACTATATATTAGTACAATGAAATGTCAAAGAACTGAAGGAGTACACACATCTTTACTGCAAGGCACATCTTAGGCCTACTGAATATAAAGTCCATTTTTACACCCAGAATACAAACTCTAACTCTCATTCTCTGTATTGAAAAGAGACTTCAACTAACAGAATTTAAATGAGTAATTGGTATTAGGAATGGTTATTTTAAGAAGGAAAAGAATAACAATTATTTATAAAAAATATGATCATTGTCAAATTACTGCCCATCAGCAAGCAACATACACCCTTCTGACACAAAAATAAACCATAGTGCCAGTTACAGAGTAAACCTTCATAAGATGGAAAGCTTTTTAACTCCACAATAACAAAAATGCTACAGATTTAAAAATAAGTAGCATGAAACTTAGTAACATCTTGGTAACATTCAGGACTCATAGTATGGTAAATATCCATAGCCATTTGGCTACATATAGATCATTTTCTTATATAATTGGAATACTTTATCTTCACCCAGTAAATCCCTGCTTTCTATATTTCAGACTCCCAAAACTCTATTGAAAATTAGGACTGGAGAAAGACACGTGGAATCAGCTACACCACTGCCCATTTCCAAAGCTAGAGATGTTTGAAAATTTGAAAAATATAGTGTGATAATGCAGATTTCTTAACATCTTTAGGTAATCTATTTTACAGTTTATTCAGTAGAAAATTTTGCTTGTATTCCACCTTAATCTTTCTTGTTGCAGTCTAGCACCATTACTTCCTCCTCAACCAAAATGGGAGGGCGGGGGGAGGCATTTTATCATCATTCTCCATTTTCAGCTTCCCTTCATGCATTTGAAGCCTGTTATTATGCCTCCATCTTTTCTTTTTCCTTCTTTGAGGTTTGTCACATTTATTAAGCCTGCATCATATCAGGATGCAAAGCAAGTCCTTAAATCTGTTTCAAAGCTATTGAAATGTCAGCAATTATAGTGAGTGAAAATACAGAAAAGTCAATTTTTTTATCCATTCTTTAATCACAACTATTCAAAACCTTTTGAAACACGAATTATATCTTTTTCCTATAACAACTGTTACTCATTCCATAGTAATTCGATAGCATAACACGATGCAATACCACTACGAATGTATCAGTTATTTGATGACAGTTATAAAGCCATCATTATTACCAAAGTAGGAAAAAAAATAAATTATATTAGTACAGAATTTTTCCATCCCTGGACAAAGGTCAGAACAGAATTGGTCACTCAGAGGTGGAGAGTCAACTTCTTTCACAGCTTTTTGAATGACCTCCTAGAATTATAACCAGAAAGGATTTAGGAAACTATTAACATAGTTAAGGGGGAAAAAAAAGTTTTCCCAGGACTACAAAGCTTGCTATACATCTCCTTCTCCTTCTTTTCAAGATCATCAGGGATATAAGTAACAACACAGGCTAATCCAGCCTATAAAAGAAAAGGCAGGTTTTCTTGCAAATCATTTAATCTGCATCACTGACAGTCAAAATAAGTTGGAGGTCATATTTTACATATAAGTACATATATCATGACAGCAGAAAACATAATATGTGCACTGAATACATAATTACTTTTGTCAGGACACTCTGAAAAGAATATTCTATGTCATAAGAATGTTAGGAAAGTAATTCTTAGTTTTTCTCCCAGTGTACACCACTTTACCTCTCCACTGCAGAGATCAAGTACAACCTCTTTTCCCAGCTTTGACTGCTCTCCAATTCATAACCAAGTTATGCCCTTGTAACTATAGCAACTTGATATATGAAGAATATTACAGTATTAGAGATGTACTTTAAGAGTTATACTCATTATCTTGTCATTCCTTTAAAAAGTTTTCAGTATGGATCCGCACAGAAATTACTCAGGAGCTCTGAGGAAAAAATGCACCACATGCTCAGGCAGACCTCATACAGAAGGCTTAGTCTTAGTATAAAAGAAAAGTTAGAAAGGTCTAGCCAGAAACTCAGTTGGCAGCAGCAAAGTGACACAAGGTAGAACAATAAGGATGACTGGCTTCATGATTTTTTTTGTCCTTTGATTGGCTATTTCATATAATTTCCTGTCTTATTTTCTCTTTATTTCAGTCACACATAAGCTCAGCTCCTAGCTGGGTTGTCCTTTCTTCCACTTATATTTTTTTCCATAAGCTTCTATTTTAATTTGCAACCATGCAGAATTTTTTTTCTGTTTTACCAAAAGCATTACCAGATTGAAGGAGGAAAAAAAAAACCCAAACCAGAAATGTCACTTTCTTTCTTTATGTTTGTACAGTGCCCGATCCCAACTATATTCACAAACTCCACTTCTATCCCAGTAACATTGATGTGACTTATCTATGGATCACTGCTATTTTTTCCTGCAGAAATCTCTGGCCCACAATTTGGGCACCTCTATGACAGTAATCATGATACTGAAGAAAATCTAACGGTTCACAATGACTCAATTTTTCAAAATATCCTGAAGATATAAACATATTTATTATGGGCTTTATACTGCAGAATACAATATACTGATGCAGATAAAGCCTCAAAATAATTATCATTTTTATTTTTTAAACCATTCCTTAGTCAAAATAGCTCCTGTTAAAATCATGTCTACCAATAAAAATATGCGCTCTTACAGACTAGGTTTGAAAAAACAAGTTGTAAAATTTATAATGTTACTGGACTTATAAATTGATTTTAGTCATTATTGCACCACGCATATTTCACTAAAGGTGATGGAATGCTTATTCAGTTGATAGCTAATGTATCCCTGAAGAATAAAAGCTGTATGAATACATCATTTTGCCATAAAGGTGATACAGACAGCAAAAGAACATTTTTTCAACTTCAGGAAAAAAAGAGAACTATTAAGAATTATTTAAAGCATCATAAAGCACCAGCAAAACATTCCATTGTCAATAGGGGTAGACATTAATCTTTCCATCCCCTTGAACACAATTTTTACATATTGTGCCTGAGTTTACCAGATGGGAAGCTTTATGCATTGCCTACCTAGTGCTGAGGAACAAACAAACCCTTTAAATGAATAAATAAACCTTAAGAAGCAAAGGTTCTGTTAAAGAAACATCAGTAATGGAGAATGGGACTAAACTTTCTAGCACCCTCCTAGGTTCAAAGTCAACTACCTTAGTGAGTTTTCATATTGAATATATTCCTACTTCTTCCATTTATTTCTATGGGAAGGAGTTAACTGTCAACTTTAAAACCATCCATGGAAGCAAAAAAGCAGCCCTACAGCAATATACAAAACCTATCTGGGTTACTGGACTTCATTCCCTCTTTCACTTCAAGGAGAATCCTCCAGTTCAGCAATGGGTAAAGTAAACATTGAACAGCAATGTCATTTTGGTATTTTTCTCTTTCCTCCCAGGAGAAGGACTTACCTGTGCACTGTCCTCCATTTGTGGGATCGCCATAATATCCTGGCATGCACGTCTCACACTGTTTTCCTGTTGTGAGGTTTTTACACTGATCGCAGACATTGCTGTTGATGCAGGTGCTGTGGCCGTTACACTGGCAAGCTAGAATATAACATTTTAAAAGCTACATTACTCAATAACTCTTTGGAACAAAATCATACCTATGTGATTACAAAATTGCAGTACAATGTAATTCGGAGTAGTTTAGTCCTGACTAATAACGAGCATATGTTTGTACTTTGACACAGAACCTCTTTAAAATAGCATTGTAACATCAATCCACACAAAAGACCACAAAAGTTGACTTTTTAGTCACATGTGAATTTGAAGGGTGTAAGAAAGTGGGGTTTTGCCATTTTTTTCTGCCATCCAGTCCTTATAGTTTTAAAATGCTGTCCAGTCACTTAAGAAATCTTTTAAGAGGTAGTAAGTCACAAACTGGGACTACATGAAAACCCCAATACCTATAATCCATTGTTAAACATTTGAAAGGCTACTGTGATGGAGAACGTGAACAACTCGCAGCCAAATTTTTATCTACTGGGGAGACAGAACTTCCAAAATAAAGTAACAAAATATCATCTTATTTTTACACAGTTCTGACCCTCTTTAGCTTTAGCATACAAAACAATTTTAAGGATATCAGGACCACATCAAACAGCTCCAGTCCCTCCTCACTACAGTTGATTTCAGTGAAAGGAAAAAAACTGGACTCTATTGACATATGTTTTGGGTTTTTTTTTTATACCTGACCTTGAAAGCATAAAATTGCTTTTTGTAAAATAAACAGCACTATAAACCACTGATCTTGCACCATAGCTCCACTCCAGAGATTCATGTTTTGGGAAAACTCAGAAAGCACTGATCACTATTGCAGCAAAATCACAACGTGAATCCTGCCAGAATCATTGATCCTGCTGCCAGGTTTTGAAGGATGACCTCTCTATAGAGTGGGACCTCAGAGCTCATCATGCTCAGCAGATTAGTAAACTGTCAATTACAGCAGCCTGTCAAATGTCAGACCATGGCAAACCTGGGTGTAAGACTCAGCAGAGGACTCTTATCTCAGTAAGATTGTATTTTTTTAAAATTTGGATTTTTAATCTAAATGTCACAATGATTCGTGTCTTGGCTAGGAGAAAAAAAAAAGATTCTCACTGCATGATTTAAAAGTTTTTAGATCAGTTTTATAATTTAGTAACTTAATATATTTACAGCCATTGCCAGGCTTGGCTCATAAACCATTAAACCTCCCCAGTTGACAATCTCTTCCTTCTTTTGTAACTGTGCTCAAGAATCTTGCAAACAAGTATCAAATGTTTCTGTACTATTAAGTTTTCTCGCTGTTTTGACTTAATTCTCAAACACATTTGTGGTGTTCTCCTCCAGGAGGGTTCCCCTTTTGCAGTTTGTTGCCATTCTCAGGAAAAGCTACACAAAAGTACCATGACCTGCAGCTCCATTTTGGCTTTTGTGTAAATGTCTTACACACAAAATTACTTAAAGGAAATGTTAAAAAAAAATACAGCCCAGAAGACCAAAAGCAAAACCAGAGTACATTAAATAGTTGTTCTAGTAAAGTAAGATTGCCTAATTAAGACTGTATCGTAGTCTAGAAAAAATGCTTTATTTAGTTTGAAACTCACTAGTTTTATGTGGCGAAGGAAAAAATACTACAGAAGCCATAGAATTAAAATTTCACTTGATGCAAAATTTCATTTTTATTGGTATTTTCATAGAATATTGTCTGTAATGAATTATACCAACATATTTTATTCTAAGCACAACAATCATTTGCCATACTTGAAACAAGATTAAAAAAAGACTAAGTCTGTGTAAGCCTATTGAACACTTTGTGGTTTGGATGAAAATAAATAGTTTATATCCTATAGTTTGAAGATTATTCTGCCACACTTATGAATAGTTGGCTAAACCATTCATGTTCATTCATACATGCATTTAGTTTTCCTTGTAGTCCATATCCATCCTCTTTATAGTGCCTCTGGGCAATTGTGTTGGTGATAAATATTTTAAATTCATTCTCCTTTTCTGTCTGTTCAAATCTTTAAAATTAGTATTCAGCAGGTAGTATAAAAATATTTATTTTTGTGACTGGTCACTTTGAAATCAATAGTCCTCAAAGAAGCTGTCATAATATTTTTTATATGAATAGAATTTTATCACATTCTTATTTTAACTGAACTATTATTGTAAATAAAATTGCAAATACCATGCAAGAAAAACATTGCTGACATCTCCTCCTATGAGAAGAGCAGTTTAGGTAGAATGCAAGCCCAAGATTTTCTTTAAAGTCTAAATTTCTCCTCTGAAAAGCAGTGTGAATGCTTTTCAGCATTCTAACTGTTCGTTTAAAACTAGATGAAGTATCTTTACATTAGATCAAGACTGTAACGCAGACATCCTTTTTCTATATTTTCTTAGTTTTGGTGTTTTCTTACAATTATAATTACCAACAATTGTCAGCATCACCAACCATTTCAACACAGAGGTCAAAAGCAAATTAAACATAAAATTGCTTGTCTCCAGGGCAGCCTCACTGAAGATTCAGCTAAAGCAAATTTTGTGTGTGAGGAGAATTTACTGCTGCCAGTGATGTACATTAAAAGGATTTAAAGAAAAAATAACTTTTTAAAACTGAACTCCTAATTCTTATTTAAATGATCACAGGTCTCATTATTTTAATAACTATTTTAAATATTTAATACTGATGTCTTAAGTTCGATTGCACTGAAACAACTTCGAGATTTATTGAACTGTGCAATTCTTCTGACTTTTCACTTTTCTCAATGAGATACATATTTTTAGGCAAATCAGCAATTATGAAATGTCATTTTTTCAATGGTGTGTCATGTCAGTTGAGGATTGCATTGGTTCTTATTGTGCATATAATTTTTTGAAATTGATTTAAAAATCTCTTCCATTTTCTTTGACTTAACAAAATGCAAGAATTCAGAACTGTCATATATGACCAGATAATATTATCACTTGCAGCAAATTAAAATTTACAATTAAGGTTGTTTTCATCATCCTTCAAATAACACAAAAATTAAGACATACAAAACTAAGCATTAGGAAGACTAGAAAAATTATAAATCAATTACCCACTAATTAGAGAATATTCGAATTAAGCATTTGGAATTTCAGTGAATTCTTGACCAGGATATGCAATGAATACATAATTTTATCCATGAAGAATAAAACATTAAACACAGTAATGAAATCTTCTAACTCAGAGTTTAGACAAGCAACATATTTAACCCTTATAATTTCACTAGTGATAGAAACTCTGCATTGCACTGAAAGGCTAACAGTGCACTTGTCAATGTATGCTTATTTTAACATACAGACTAAGTATTGAAGTTTTCATACAATAGAATGGAAATTGTTTCCAAATAAGGTTTCTTTGTTCAGCAAATGGCATTAGATGATTTGAAGGATTTTTTTGTTTTAACTCAAAACATTCAACAGTGTTCACTTGGTTTTACACTTCATTATTCTAAAACTTAAAAAAAAAAGCTTTCTCTCTATTTATAAACATGCACATATATATGCACACACACACAGAGAACATGCTGATAAAAAAAGCAGCCAGGAAAGCATAGTTTTATGTACCCATAAAAGTTTTGATGCTTGAGAAGCTCCGGTTTCCAAAATTATCAGCAGTAGAACATTTGCTGGGAAAAAAACCCTTTAGCACAAGTACAGTATTTATTCCAAAAAAAAAGTTTCCAAGCTGTCTTTTAAGTTGTATTATTTATTGTAAATTACTACTGGAGGACAGTCAAACTCCACAGTGTGCTTTACATTTGCCTGCAGTACTACACTGCTGCTTTCAAGGTTGGAGTATTTCCACACAGGAGGCTGCACCAGCTCAGCTTCCACCATCCTAAAGCACCAAGTGTCTTCCTTACTTTTCCAATTAACATAAAAATTAAAATTCTGTAATCAGAGTGATATGGCTTAAATGTAGAGATTTTCTTTAAGATTACATAAGCATACGTTCTTTTACTCCAAATGTCTCAAAGGGTGACTGGAGGCTCAGGTATTTGGCAGCCCCCCATTCTCACAGCCAGTTGTACTTGGGCATGAGGAGCAGGGAAGCTTCTGCCCATCAGCAGTTGCCTATGGATAACTTCTTCTTTTATGGATATAGAAGCGAAAAGAAAGCAAGAGCTGAAGCAAATTCATATAGCTGGATTTTAAAAATTGGAAGCATAAGGTGGGTGAAAACTTATTTACAAATAAATGGCAGTTTTGATTAAACTACTTGTGTTACATTTCACATGTGAACCTACGTGATAGGAAGCACATTTGTGTTCAATAGACAGAGACTAACAAACTATAAATTTAAAAAATATGTTGGAAAAAGAAATCTCTCATGCAAATGTTATTTGTGTTACTTCAAACAACTATGTTATTTTGGTGTGCTTAAACAGAGAAATGTCTCTTATTTCATATATAAGAAAGAATGGAAGCAGACCTTACCTGGACACTGGATAAAAGACCACTCATAATTTTTCTCTTTTGGGCAAAGACCAGCATCAAGCACCATTTCATTACCAACAGGCTTCATTGGACCTCGTGATGATCCTTCCAAACATTGTCCTTTACCAGTGTTACTGGGATCATTGCACCATCCACACCCAGGCTGTTCCAAACACTGTCCACAGGTCCTCAGTCCAGAGCAGTTTTGAGCTTTATTACATGAAATACAATATTAATGCAATGGGGTTTGTTTGTTTGGAGGTTTGGGTGGGGGTTTTTGTTTGTATTTTTTTAGTAAGATGCTACCATTTTACAACAGTTGATGAAGAAACAATTTAGCACCTCTATTTCCTTGTGCAAATTAAAAAAAAAATCAGTAACAATAGTAAGAATATCTCAGTTTTCTTAAAAAGTCGTACTTCCACACAAAATACACAGCAGGTGTTTTTTACACCACAATGCAACAATAAAGTTACAAATAAACAAAGATAATGAAGCAGAAAAATAAAATTACACATCTTCATTAAATCCCACAAAAAATATATATCCTTTCCTTATTATTAATATATAATGCACATATTACTAATTTTACTGACATAAACAGCCCTTCTAGCATGAAAACTCTAGAATTCAATACAAGGTCAGTAATCCAAATAAGAGTGATAATATTATTCCAAAACAAACAAACAAACAAAAAATGAAACCAGAATAATTCAAACTCAAACCAAAAATCTATTTGGATATAAAGTAACTCTGGATCTCACCTGAGTATTCATCTACGAATATGACTCAGTCTCCTTATATAGAACTTTTGAAACAAGCTAGCATACTACACATCTTAAGCTACAAGTCATAACTCAATCCCCTTTAATTGAATTATATCTTAAGATTCTCATCAGTTAATCAGGTTTCCTTTTTTAAATTGCATGCTTAAACTCAAATCTCCTTCTAGATCTTTTATACTCTATTCCTTTAGAATAATTAACTGGTCTTCCTCATATTTTAAATCTGTTTAGAACCAAATAAAATTCCCATGCTGAAGCTACTGTCATTTCTTATTAATAAGAAATTAACATTTTAGTATCTTCAGGAACACCATTAAAATTACCAGGCTTCTTTGAGCTTTTTCTGCTACATCTTAATTTTTTTAATTAATGCTCTAACACTGAATTAAATTAATATCAGAATCATTTGAACATTGATCACTATGGGTCCCTGTCTCTTTTCACATAAACTTTATGGGCATTCAAAAATTAAATTTTAAAAGCATACATGAATGTAAGAAAGATCCTGCCAGGAAGCCAAAATTATCTAAGTATCTTCTTAAAAAGAAGAAAGTAGTTTAAAGGTTCATGGAGGTTTTTTGAAGGACACTCAAATGGCTTCTACATGAGTGTAAGATCTTAATTTGGCTCAGCTGTGCCAGTACATCCAACTAATATTCTCAGCTACATGGACCACTCTAGTCCACAAAGGGAATACTTTAATCCGTGCTATAAAGGGTATACTAAGCAGAATGATTTATTACTAATTTAATAAATTGAGAGCAGAATAAAGCTAGCTTCTCTGACTTCAGCAACCATTAAAATAGTTTAAAAGTAGTGAAAACTACAAGAGGAAAAAATACTCCGTAGTCTAAAGATACATGGAGATATCAAGAAAACAGCCAGTTAAGGTTCTGAGTGAATCTCAAAAGCACTTTAATAGAGCAGGAAGCTGGAGCATGAGCTCTTGTATCATTAGACTTGGAACAATCCAAATAGGAGGAAATGTTTCAATTTTCCCATATATGGGAAAAGAGGCGGGACAGGAGAAGCTCAACCGTTGTTGAAAATTGTCAAGCACATGACAAATCAGTTTTAAACCATCAGAACTGAAGCTGAATGATAGGAATTTGGGAGTTTGAATACATTAGAAGATCAGCAGAAAAATAAAGACCATCACTCTGTACCGGCTGACTTGCCCTTTCGGAGATGCACTGTAAATGATCCAAACAAATCTCGTGCTGCTATTTATACTCATGTTGCTATTTATAAAGCTCTGAAGTATCAGCTGCAGTATCTTTATGGAAGATAAAACAGAATCAAAAGTGAAAATCCTCATATATTCTCTGTGGTGGCATTTAGCTGAAGAGAGCTAACTGAGAAGCTATTGCTGATGGAAGAAGGGGATATTAAAGCAGAAATTTTATTTTCCTTGAAATTCTAAAGGTGGTCCAAGATTGTTCCACTGTCAGCTATTCAATCAAAAGTCATAATGGATGGAAGATGTAGAGAAGAGTGGAAATGAAAGTTTTTGGCAAGGAGGTATTAAAATGACAAAATGTCACCAATAAAACAGCATTCTGCATTTTAAACCCAAGCTGTGGAAATAAATGTGAAGTTCTCAGTTGTTATATTTTTTATTTTAAATCACACATGCTTGTCTGAATTTCTTTCATTCAGAGAAAAACATCCAAAAGCTCAGAAATTAGTCATTTAAAATAATAATAGAATTTTAAAACCAAGCATGATTTTTTTGGAAACGTACAGTTACAGTCCACTCCAAGTTAAATAGAAACACTAGCCCTTGATAAGGGAATGAACTTAATACTTTAGCAGCAATAATGATATACCTACCTAACAAAATTTTTAAGTCATTTACACTAAAACAATGTCTGAACCATGCTTCATATAGACATACATTTTCTTTTTTAAATGCAAAATGTCTGATGCTAGAAAACTCCGGGAAAACTGCTTACAGACACAATATTGTTTTTCTCTAATTTGTTGAACAGAAAATACATTTTTATACAAAATTGCCTTTACATAATGATGAACTGGTACATAGCAAATCCTGTTTGCCTTATTTAATATAAACTTCTACAGATCTGACAAAAAGTACAATCAAATTAAGAATAATATTTTTGTGTTCCTCAAACAAATTGAATGATGTGCAAATACTACACAAACACACAAACTGAATTGAAAGTTCAGGCAGACATAATATCTGCTAGTTTAAAAACCTAAGTATCATTCATGTGGTGTTCTGTCAATTTTATCTTCAAATTTTCTATCTCTTTATGTTCTGCCACAACTCATTATCAATATTTTATAGGTTACAAATTGATTCCTTACAGGAGAGGAAAAAAAAAGTTCAGTGAATGGTCACGAGAGAGAAACCTTTATATAATTACTGCATTATTATTCCAAATATATGGACAAGAGATTAAGTGTTCCTATTTGTTTATTCCTATCCCAAACATAGACTGATTGATGGTCCCAAGGAACATGTAAACCCTACTACTAGTCCCCACTAGACCTGGGCACTAGAACCTGGATTAATATCTAAAATTTACAAACTAAGCCAACGGTTTACCAGACCAGCTCAACATGCTATTGTTTCATGACATTCTGTGATTATTAAGGATGAAGAAGGAATCTCAATTAAGAGGAATATGGGCTCTTGACCAGTTTAGCCTGAAAGAAAAGCTTTCCAATGCCTTATATTCCTAACCACCCTGTAGCAGCCTGGTACATATTGCCATTTTTCTCTCCTAAGATTAGAATATATCAATGGTTCCTATTACAGACACATCAAGAACTTACTTAATATTTTTCCTCAGGCTTAGGTGCAAGCAAGTAATTGCCTTTTGTGTTTTGTTTTGGGGCTTTTTTTAATTTGTATCCATAATCAATCAGAATCATGATCTAATTATGATGCTGAAAGCAAGTAGCTTCTTGTTGTCAAGATCATCAATGCTGTCACAAGATATCCAGAAATAACATGTTCCAGAGGCTGTTATCAAAAGACCCTTATGGAGAGGGAAAGGAAGTAAGAAGTAACTGAAAAACTCTCTCAGAGCAGAGCAATATGGACAATTCAATGGTACACTTCAGAAGTCCTATATATAAGGTTTGGGTGACACTAGATTGAAGTCCTTTACAGACAGAAAATATTTTAATCAAATCTTGAAGGACAGATTAATTACTAAGAAGCAGTCTTCTAGACAATGACTGAGGAATTGTTCTAAACAAACCTCAGCTAAGACAAGAATCTAAGGCACCAGGCAGCTTGCTCCAGCACCTACAGGAATTATGGCATGGATATACATTGGAACTGCATGGTATCAAACTTAATGAGGTCCAGTCACTACAGAACTGGGAAGAAGTAACTTCAGCTGAAATAAACACTGAAAGGTACATCGAGTAGGTTTTTAATTCTCCTAGAGAGGCATTGTGTCAACTTCTGATGAAATGTACTTCCAAAGGGGATATCCAGGGCATAACTTTGCTCCTTGACAAACAAATCACTTGCCTTTTATCCCCAAAGGATGAAATCAGCGACTCTGAATATTAATGCAGCCTGGTCCAGTCTGATCACACAAGACAGAAGTTTTCTGTACCTCCTTTACCTGTCTGATGGCCTAACAGAATTCCTTCTGCTTCCATAGAGAGGACAAACAATCTGCAAGGGTTAATAATCAGCATTTCCAAGGGAGAAGAATCTAAGGAACACTAAGATCATTTGTTTTGCATTTGTGTTACAATATTCTCAAGACTATCACTCTAATTATTATAATTTTGCTTTTATCTTTGCATGTTAGGAAAATGGTATTCCTTGTGACAAAATAAATCAGAACCTGAAAATCAGAACCTTAAGACTCAGCACACTTCCTTTTCTTAATAAATTGATGTTGTATAAATATAAGGTCTACATATTGTTTATCTAATTTTAACAGCGTGCTGTTAAATAATGGCTCATGGCCATTATTTGGCACACTAACACTGGTCATGCAAACAGTCATGATAATTTTTCTTTATATGAAAACAATATATACCTTTTACTGTTTCAAAAACCTAAATATATTTTATCATAAAAGAATTGCCAGTATTTTACCTGGATCTAGAAAACACATACTCCATATTGACTTCTCACATTAGTGGCTATAAAAGGTCATTCATTTGAAATTCTTTTTATCTTTAGTGAATGTGCTGAATCCTATTCATACTTTGGAGTAAAAAAAAAATATAACAAGTACAATTAATAAGATGGACATTCCTTTAGATACTCACGGGAGCATGTGGCAGTTTGCCATTCCAGGCACTGTCCATAGGGGAAGGAGATGATATAGGCATTGGAGTCAACACATCTCTTGGTGCTGCTGCACCACATACATTCCATACCATTGCTCGTGCAGTTGGAACACGTTGTTCGCAGGGAGCACGGCTTTTTGCAGGGTCTGGCATTCTGGTTGGGACTGACTGGAAAAGGACCACAAACATTTATAACTATGAACACAAGTTCAATCCCCTTTTCTTTAATCATATGTTCCATTAGAAAAATCTCTATTGAAGTGACTGCCTCCTTAATTAGCTATAGATAATTTCATCCAAATTTATGCTGCTGTATATAATCATATTTTATAAAAAATATCAAGTAATACTCAGCTCTAAAAGGCCATTTAAAAAATTCACAGCAATTTTATCTCTATATTAAAACAAAATATTTAATATTCATTGCCTGGAAATACCAGCTTAGCTACTTGTACGTACATTACATGACATAAAATACGTCTCAGACATCTATAACCAGTTGAGTCCCATGGAGCCAATACCAGCTCCAGGATGGGCTTCCTGCTGCTGGCCAAGGCCGAGTCAATCAGGAGTGACAGTAATGCCTCTGTGATAACATTAAGAACAGCAGGTTGTTGCGCAGAATTCCAGCCAGGGAAGAGTGGAGTGAGAACATGGGAACAACAAGGTGGACACCAAGGTCAGTGCAGAAGGAGGGGGAGCAGGTGCTCCAGGTGCTGGAGCTGAGGCCCCTGTGGCCCGTGGTGCAGAGCAGGGTGGGGCAGCTGTGCCCCTGCAGCCCATGGGGGACCATCAGGGTGCAGAGACCCCTCTGCAGCCCATGGAGAGGGAAGCCCACGCTGGAGCAGGTTTTTTTCCCAGGTAGGACTTGTGGCCCCTGTACGGAACCCACATCAATACAGCTCATTCCTGAAGGACTGCACCCCATGGAGGAGTGACCCACGGGACAGCAGGTTGGGAAGAGCTGTTGCCTGAGGGATGGACTCACGCTGGAGAGGTCCATCCAGGACTGTCTCCCGTGGGAGGGACCCCATGGGAGCAGCGGAAGGACTCCTGTCTCTGAGCAGCTGCAGAAACAACAACTGACCACAACCCCCATTCCCATCCCCCTGCGGAGGAGGGAAAACATGGAAGGAAGGAGGGGTGGAGGGAAGGCGGTTTAAGATTATTTTACTTCTCACTCTTTTGCTCTGATCCTGTCAGTAATAAATTTAAGTAATATCCCCACTTTAGTCTGTTTTGCCCGTGATGGTGATCAGTACGTGACCTCTTCCAGCTCTCAACCCATGAAGCCTTCAGGGTTTTTTTTTCTCTCCTCTGTCCAGTTGCAGGGGGGAATGAGAGAGCAGCTTTAGTGGGTCCCTGACATCCAGCCAGGGTCAACCCACTACAGCAACGCACAAAATAAATCTGAATGCAAAATTTAAAGAACTTCTTATGCTCAACCTCACAGCTATGAAGAGAAACAGAGGCCAATTGGAGAATGAAAATGCTAATTTCAACAGTCAAGTGACTATTTGTGACAGTGAACTATAGGCACAAACAAACCTAAAAGATCAAACCAAGAATTTTGATTTTGTCAGTCTTTTAGACTATTAAGATATTCACTAATATTCAGTGAGATGCAGAAAAGAAAAATCAGAATTTTTTAACACCTTCACAGACACTTTCGTATTACAATTACTGTTATCACTGACTATTCATGATTTAGAGGCAAAATATAAGGTTTCTGGTGGAACACAAAATAAGCCATGCAAACCAATTCACAAATAAATATTTGCTGCTTTAGGAACTTTTTTTTTTTCTAGATTACAGCTCCATATTTTTCAAGAAATAAAAGAAGTAATTATTTAATCCAAATTGTCCAAAAATCCCTCTTAGACAAATGAAACCTCAAACGGCTTGCTATTGATGAGAGTATCAGTAACAGGGTGTAAGTGATTGCTTACCAACAGGTTTTTCACACACAAGGCCATCTGCCATTGCAGTGCAGGGATTTGCTTTCAGACCTGCCACCTCTGCTCTCTCCAGATAGGCACAGAAGCCGGAGTCATTTGGCTCTCCAGGAAGCCACTGCAGGGTTGTATTTGTAAAAGGAGACATGTCATCCCAGCCCCAGTAGGAGATGTTGATCTTGCGTAAACCTACCCAAGGTGAAATTTTCTATGAATGAGAATGAAACAAATGAGAGATAATTATTTAAAATGCCTTTTGTTTTGTTGATTTAAAACATTTCAAAGAACAGCTCAACAGCAACAACTTCACATTTTCAGAATTCATCATGTTCTTATCTCACTTTATCATCACATCCATACAGTTTTTATCTTAATTGTTCTATGTTGCTGAACATCTCCCTCCTCCCCCTAACACAACCCCAACAAAAACTCCACCTACTATATGCTTTTCTTCTACTAAAAATCTGTGTTCTTTCAAATTCTGATTACTATTATTTGATACGGGTCAAATGGTCATAATGAAACTGTCTGGTTATTTTCTAGCGGCAGCTATACTGATTACTAATTGCTAGGCCAATGTGGATAATAAAATACACATAAGTCAACAATAACTCTGAAAAATCAAAGTTCAGGAAAAGGATAGATAATATTCCATCTTCTAACGTCTATATTGCTAATACTGATTAGGCAATTCAGAGACAGAGATGAAAGTGGCACATTTACAACTCCAGTGCCATTAAATACACGTTGAATACACTTTCATTATTAAATTACAAGTTAGAGAAAATAGTCTAGAAAACATTAAAAGCATTAATTCTAAAAAAAAATATTTACGATGTATCAGTAAAATTACATCACAAATTCTACTAATTTTTATAATTTCATCTTTATACAATTACAAATACAAAGAAGAGATTTTAAGGAATAAGGGCCTTTGCTTGTTCCAGGACAAATTTACATAAATTACTTGCCCCATCATTGTAAAAATCTCAAGACACCAAAATCAAACACATTTCCACCAGTAATCTCTGTGCTGGCAGTTTTTATTAACCCCAGTTTAAACACAAGGAAGTGAGATACAGAGACACAATGAGGCTGTCACAGAGATGTGATGGCAGGTAAATACCAGAATGCTAAAACACAGCTGTCTGCACCAGACAGAGAACAGACATTGTCAGCTCCAGAGCAGATATATTGATCTGATTGTGAATTAGGTTCTTCACTGATTTAATTTACAGGCCAAGGCAAGTAAAACACTATAATATACCAAAAGTGGACCTGCCAGGATTCAAGATCTATGTGCTATTTCACAAGTGAACCAAGAGTTACTGCCATTCTCTGTCTGACTGATCTTTCATCTTTGATCTCACATCTTTCTTTGGCCACTCAGGTTTAACCCATGTCTGAAAAAAAAAAAATAATCTTTCAGCACTCTTAATTCTACATCCAGTCAGAGGAATGCTCTGATTTTCTTTCCCCTCTGCCTTGTTAGACCAAATTGAAATGTGAAGGATTATTAATTCTGCTTCAAAAATACTAGTGTGTAAATATCTTTTTAGAAATTCAGTAGATAGATAATCAATATTCCTGACCTTCCTAAAATGTACTCCCTATGCTCTCTTCTTCTTCTGTACTATCAGTTGAGATCACGATCAAACAAAAATTGCCACAAAAACCCTAAGAGAAAAAAAACCTTAAATAAACCAGAAAATTACTAAGAAATGTTCCATTCCATAAGCAGTGATGCACTCTTCTCTTGAACAGCAACAAGAACATCCAGCAAATATGCCACTGCCCATTCTTGTGTCTTCTGTATTTACTTCGTAACTTGATTGCTACCCCAGGTGACCAACTTTCCAGGTATCTGTAAGAGCTCCCATATTCTGGATACCAGAAAGAACATGATGCAAACAGTCGAAGTGCAACTTGGGCATCTGGAAAATGGTAGACAATACATCTGTTGTCTTATTTGTTGCCTAGATTGCTGTCCATGTACATCGTCCATGTGCCTCAGAAAACTTTAGATATCTGTGCATATCTCTAGACATCTCTCTGTAGAATGCTGAGTGTGCACACTAAGCATGTATAAAAAAATGTCAGGGTCTTAGGCAGGGTGAATTGCTGACAAACACATGCCTACTTTGGGATCAAGGGATTCCAGCCAAGAGAACCTTCAACATATTACTGACTGCTTCAATTGCACTGCCAAATAATTTGGCCTCAGCATCAGTATATAAAAAACAAGAGATCCTATTCCAGCTATGGTGAAAAGCATGTTAGGCAAATAATGAAAACTGACACTGCAGCAGTGACATTGGAGATAAATTCTTCTGTTTGAGTAAGAGATTGTCCTGGAACCCTTTTAATGATGATGAAGTCCCAGAGAGAATCATGAAAGCCAAAGCAGCCACAGGAGATAAAAGCAGCATCCCTGAAATGAAAGACTGCTATCAAAGCAACACATACCATAGTCATAATCATTCTTAATAACTGTACTCCCTGGACAGCTTATAGTCATCATGTCAGGCATCTCAAATTCCATATGCACCATCTTTGGCTCTTTGCTAGTACAGGACATCAAAATACAGACCTGAACGCTGATGAGTGTGCTATCAAATACATGCCAAAGTTCTGACCTTGCAGGCTCACTTATGCTGCTCTGGGAATGCCAAAGATAGACTATCCAAGTAAGGCCACCCAGATGCCCCAATGATGTACTAAATGTGCATATTCAATTATGTGGCATCAATTCCATGATGTGGTGGGCCACAGGTGAAGATTGATGGCAACAGCAGAGATTGTCTGTTGGTATCACCAAAGTGTAGCAGCAAAAATGACTGCTGCTCCACTGCACAAAAGCTCACAGGAAAAATCCAGCTGTGAAGAGAGAATTCAGGAAGTTGCACATATGACACCTGAAGCCACCAGGGCTCTGTGACTATCAAACTAATTTCTTCCAAAAAGAAAAGCATCAATCTACTATAAATTATCTCTCAAACTAAGGAAAGGTTCAGTCATAATAGCTGGGAGTCTCAAAGTACCTGAAGCAACTGAGGGACTTCAAATGTGTTGAATGTGAATGCCAATCCAGTTTCTTCTTCAGGAGTAAGAAATAATGAGAGTTGAACATCCTTTACTTGAACTGTGTGGTTGTTTAATTTAATGTAAAATGAATGTAGGAAACTGATTCCTTTACTTTGATATATTGCCAAGGATGCTTCTGAAGAGGATCAGACAGGAAGGAAATGAGATTGCTAGTTCTCTGTACCCAGAAGTTGCTGATGCAGGATTCTAGGTCGCAGGTCTCTTGAAAAATAAATATTTGCTATCAAACCAGGTGGGTGAAAAAGTACACTACAAATCAATGTTTCAGAAAAACACTTGCAGACAGAAAATCAGCCCCAAATGTGCCTATTTTTTTCTTCTCAAGTATACCAGCTTTACTGGAAGTTCAGGCAATCTTTACTCAACAATCTTTACTCAACAAGAAAGCCACTCCTCAGAGAGATTGAAGACTTCTTCTTTCTTTCTATCTAGGTACATTTATAAAAACTCCCTTTATACATAATGTACAATTCATGTTAAAGCAACAACAACCACAACCAAACTTACTCCAAAAAAAAAAAAGTTATCATTAAAAAAACAAAAAGAAAGAAAAAGAGGACAAAGGAAAAACACAGAGAAGTTACTACAGTAAAATTTTACAGTGAAAGAAAGCAATGCAATACATAGCAGGTGATCAAATCCTTCTTGGGAAAAGTTGTAATGCACCTTACTAATGTTGCAATGGAGAATATAATCAAATATATCTTGAGACATATTTCATAGCTTTATCCCACTACACTATTTAAAATTCAGAATCATCACTAGAATATGTTTGTCCTCCCATCCATATCTTTCTAGGCTATTTTTTAGAAGCTACAGCCCATCTTGGAAGCTATATATTTGTGTTTCAAATACAGCTAGTCACAGTTTATCTGTTTTCATAAAACAATCTTTTATAACACGGATAACAAGTTGGTGAAAAACTTTTTTAAGTGAGAAATAAACCTCTACATTAAGAAAGATTTCAGAATTATTTAATTCTGAGAAAAATTTTTGGGCAAGGCTTTATTTTCATCTGACAGAGGAACAAAACTGCAATCATACAATGCATACCAATAGAACATCATCCTGTATTCTCCTCTACAGTCTTACTGAACTGAACATAAGGCCAGCTTTTAGCCATCACAGGAACTGGTTAAATACCGATGACCAATAACTTCAAAAATATGCTCTTCTCTTATTCTAAATTACATAATCATAATTTTCTTTTTAATAGTAATTATGGAACTATGTTAGAAAGGAAAAATGTGTAATCTTTACTAGAAAGCTGATATTTCATGTTAAATCTACTGTTTACTCAGAGAATTTAAATCAGATTAAGTTGCCTTGAGATCTACAGTGAATGGAATCATTTGTAGTCATGACACATTTTTTCAGGTACTACTGCTGCTTCAGCACTAATCTAATGAGGGCTGAATAATTTGCAGATGAGTGAAGTGAGCAAGTCTACCTTTACTGAATAGCCAATTACCACTGAGGCTCAAAAACCTCCTTTGTTTCTTAATTATGCAAATTACTTAGGAATTTCATATCTCTTTCAAAAATTTATCTCCACCTTTACTTTAATACCTTTTATTTTGGATCTTAAATTGTCCTGGAAGTGTACGACACAATTCTGTCTCATTTTCTATTATGTGCCTCACAACACATTATTAACACAACAAACTTGTCAAGAATTGTTCAAACTCCTTGATTTCTAGTTACATAGTTATTCTAGGATGAAACACAAAATTAAACTTTGTTAAAATACAGTGGCCTCTTGGTACTGATATTTCCACAAAATTCACAGACTGGAGAAGGGCTCGCAGATAATTTGCCTCTCTTGTGCATCATTACGAACAAAAAAACCTGCTTCCTGCAAATAGCAACTATACAAAGAGAAACCATGCATCCCATGTACAGTCACATTGCTTAGTTCCCATTCTTGAACTATGCACCAATTCTGACTACGCTAGATACTGGCACTTTTCTTGTCTTGTAAATATTTACCCAGTGAATGACACATTTTAAGCAGTGGGAACAAATTTCCTGATTTTTAAGGGTTTCAGTATCTATTAGACACATATGATGAAATCTAGATGCAATTAGTAGTAGGTGGTCACACATTACATCATGAGAACACTTAATTCTCCTACTCTTTTTAAAAAGTTCTTTAGTGTCATTGGTTAAAAAAAAAATGTACAATCTGGCAAACTGAAAAAAAATAGAACTTCCCAATTTCCATCTACAAAGATTATAGCTGATATTCCAGTGGAACTTCGGTTTCTTCTTGGGTTTTCTTATTTATAGGGGACAATTTTTTTTTTTAAATTTTGGTTCTCTTCTCAGGCATTCAAAGTGAGTTGAGCTTCACTTCCTGAACATAGGAAGACAGTGGTGAGCTAATGAACACTCAATGTAATGACTCTAATATGGAGATAAAGTGCTGAAATAACTTATTAGACTTCCAAAACCACAATAGGAAAGTGGGACTGCTAGAAATTGTAATAAAGAGAGTAATTCAGAAAAAAAAAAAGTAGATGTCAGCTTCACCACAACCACACACATGATAAAACCACAAAAACATACAGCCCTCTGAGAATACTTTGAACTAACAAGGAATAACATTGCTAGGCAAAGCTCACTAATTAACTGCAACCTGAACTCAAGTGTAATTTATAAAAAGATGCTTAGCCTTGTGAGCAGTGAGTCAAAGGAAAAGTTGCAAACAGTTTACATAATGAAAGGCATTGTGTAAAACTGTTTTCTTCTTTGTTTATGCTTACTACACCAAAACTACATCTTCTCAGAATTTATTGCATGCTAATAAGAAAATTATTATTTTTAGTTAAATCCCACAGTTGCAAGCAAACTCCCAAGAGCACTAATTGCACTTTTAAATGAATATACAACATTTGAATATTAGCAGGAACAGTTAATTAACCTCATATTGCTGTTTAATCTACTTTGCAGAAAACTTCAAATCTTCTCTTTCATAATGTTTTGCTTACTAGGTCAAAAAAAAGCATATAAGAAAAAATATCAAGTGTCATTTTGCTTTAGTGTGGTAATCTGCAGTCTATCCACTATGCTTACTTTGGTGTTCTCTTAAAGAATTTAATTTATTTTTAATGAAAAATACAAACTAGACTTTAAAACTACCTGTGGTAGTTTCAGAATACATCTGCAAAATCAACAGTGTTTTGACTTCATACCACAAAGATCTTTGTCTTTTTCCTTTCTTTAGTACCAAAAGAACTTTCTCCTTATGCTTTAAAAGGAGGCAACCTATGGATTTCCATTCAGTATAGGGATTAGGAGAAATTATTTATACACAGTGAGGTCTGGACAGGGTGTGGAGACAATGGCAGCCTCCTCCTGCTGAATCTTTCCAAAGCATCAATGTATTATTCCAAACATGATAAAGAAATTGTCCTAAATTTGTGCCAGAACAAGGACTTTGTGTATTAGGAAACAAAGTCACACACTGTTTCTATGAACAATAAAGAACTCTGAAGTCCTTCCAGGCTGTAGTATTTACTATTTTAACAGTTTGTTAAATAAACAACAGTTGCTTTTATTTTCTCAATATAAGAATACCAAATAACATAGATATAAAATCAGAATCATATTCTTATTTCCAAATGTTGCTCTGACAAATTCATTAATCCTGAAAACTTGTGAAACCTTTCTTTTTTCGGGTTAAAGGTTTTAAAGTCTTTGATATTAACTACACAGGTCAAACTCCACTACAGATAAAAGAGATTTAAGACATGATGTTCACCTTACAGATGCTCTGACTACATTTGTGAACTTCCACACCACCACCTGTTACAGAAATAAGACATCTAAAATGAAATCTCACTCCTTAAATCATTATGATTGCAGTTTGAGAGGAAAAGGCAGACAAAAGAAGATCAAGAAGTTCCAGAGAGCCTCTGTCACACCTGATAACACATTTAGGCTGTCACACACTGAACAAATGCAACTGGGTGGACAGATATGAATGAAAGAAATTGAGGTTTTTTTCCTGACTGCCACTGAAAACACCAAGATAAGTCATGGTAGCATTTCATTAGAGATTCTGATAGCTAAATGATTGTTTAACCCAAGATATACTTTTAAAGTGTATACATTTCTCTACAATTGCATAAACTGTATTTGAGGTATCTCAAATTTACATCACCACATTGGCTCATGACATACTTCATTTAAATAAAGATACACTCAGCAGGATGTCACCTTGTAGAAGTTCTAAGCTCTGAAATGTAAGAAAAATCTTGCTTCCAAACAGTAAAAAAAGCTATTTCTCATCTACACCTCAAGCCAGCCAGGCAATATCAGTCATATCAATACTCTATCACATATCATTAGATTTGAAGGCGTCCTGTGCAGTATTTTAATAGGAATTCGGGGAGAGAAAAGAAAAAAAAAAGGCAGCAAACTAAATAATTATAGCGATCATGTTGCTAACAAGGTTTTGTTGCTTTAGTTTCAACTACATTTTCAATGTTAACTTGTATCAAAGAGTGGACAGACGAATGTGTTTCAAGGGCTGCACTAAGTACAATATCAAGGAAGAACTTTTGACATAGAATTACTTTTCTCTCTCTCCTCTATTAACAAATAATAAAAAATAAATATCTTTCCATTTAAAAAAAAATCTGCTCTGTAAAAACATCAAGTACTTAACCAATGTTTGTATCTCCTTTTCAAAATTGAACGCTAAAAAGGATAATTAAAGAATATTTTGTTTCACAATATATGTCCCTAAACCTTTGCTTTCAGATTCAGTAAGACGACCCTTAATTGTTATTTCCTTCATGTGCTTCTTCAATTCATCTACAGCATAAAAACTTTGTAAATCACATACTAGTTTGATATCTCATCTCAAGGCCAGTCTTCGCGAACGAAGCTTTGGGAAAGGTCATTAACCCTTTGAGCCTGTGCAGTGGATTTTTTTTTAGGTGAGACACAGTGTGTGCTGAACTGAGCCCACCCTTTAATCCTAAGGTTCATCTGCTGGGGCCGAGCAAGCTCGGATGGTGGCACTGAGGTCCTCAGGACGTAGGTTTGTTTAGAGTGACCTTCTCTTAGATGGATTGCCTCACAGGGCTGATGGGCTCCATCTGCCCGAAGGAGTTCCCTGACCGGGAATCGAACCCAGGCCGCGGCGGTGAGAATGCTGCATCCTAACCACTAGACCACCAGGGGTCCTCAGTTTGATATAAGCTTTAATTATTATTCACAATTATGTTTCATTGTCCTGTAACTGTAAAATCCTAAGCTACTTTAAAATTTGAGGATTTTATACAGACGAAGAAATGCTGCATCTTTTACAAAACAAAATACACACTTCTAAAAATGCCATTTGCTAAGAAAAACTGATTTGCTTGTAATGGAATCTTACTCTGCTAAGACATCCCATCTAAGAGTACACTGCTGGGTTTGACATTTTTGAGCATACTTATATTTCATATACTTGCACCAATTATGTTTAAAAACAGCTATAAGAATTTGAATATTAAACTGCTAAAACACTGAACCTGACCACCAGGAACAGGTAACTAATCTTCTCTTCTCTTGTCCCACAGTTAACAAAATTAATATGGATCACTTTTCTAAGGAATATTCTGATGGTAGCTTGCTGTATTTGCCAGAGGGATGGAAGAGTTTTCAGCCCTCTCTCTCCCTCACCATCATCAGAGAAAGTTAATTAGTTCCTGCTAATTCCACTGCTGCTATGCAGAGAATTTCTACATTTCACATACTAGCACAGCTTCTCTGTGACCCTTTGATCCCAAATGCCAGTTATGCAGGAAGCTGGGCTTTTCTGGAGAAGTTTACATCTTTAGTGCCTCGCTGTCCTTGACGGCTTGCAGCCTAGCTATTCACCACCCAAAACCAATCCTTTGAGCACTTTTATGGACACTGGTGTGAAAAGTCAGGTTTTCTCTGTTAATGAAGAGTATTTTGATTCCTCTTGTCACAGTATATTTAGGGGTGGGATTTCCGACAATTCATGGTAAAACCACAGCAGGCAACTAAGTACCACTCAGCCACTTGCTGACCTCCCCCAACTCTGTCACAGAGGAGAACTGGAAAGAAAAAGTAAGTCTCATGGGTTGAGATAAGAACTGTTTAATAACTAAACCAAACTATTATTATAATAATAATGAAAATGAGAGAGGAATAAAACCCCAGCGAAACACTTCCTGAGTTTGCCCATGGGGATGTTGTGAGAGACAGCATCAAAAGCGTTGCTGGAGACCAGGAAGACAATATCCACTGCTCTGCCCTCAGCCACTGAGGTAACTGTTCCATCATACAAGGCAATCAGGTTTGTCAACCATGATTTACCTTTACTGAATCCATGCTGGCTACTCCTGATCACCTACTTGTCATCCATGCAGATATTGATGCCCTCCAGAGCGAAGCACTGCCATCAACTTTCCAGGGATTAAGGTGAGACTGACTGACTGGTAGTTCCCTGGGACCTCTTTCTTACCCTTTCTGAAGACCAAGGTGATATTTGCTTTTTCTCAGTCCTCAAGCACCTCTCCTGAACAGCATTATTCTTGTACTAAATCTAACACACAGCACTGTACCAGCCACCAAAAAGAAAATTAACTCTATCACAGCTGAAACTAGGACACCAAAGTGATCCACTCATTCTCTTGAGCAAATATTCTCTCACAGGTAAACAGTAACTTTTAACATTTAAATCAGGTAAGGAGAAACACTTGAGAACTGCTGTGTCATTAGCATTAAACATGAGATTTGCTTAATACCTACACATCACTGATACCAGTCTTTAACACCATGTTACATTTCTTTGAAGACATAAACTTTTCTGTCTTTGGACAAAAGCCTAAAACAGATTTCTCCAAGAAAATTTATTTCACATAAGCATCAATTACAGTTACTCAAGTTACCTGAAGTGTATACTTCTGTATTTCATCCAGAACAAATTCCACTTCTTTTGAGGTTGTTAATGAGGCAAGATTTCCACTTAAGTTGTAGCAATACAGCTTAGCATTGTCATAGCTTTCACGACTAGAATTTATGTGGAGGCAGGCATCTCCAATATGACTCCATCTTTCTCCACAGAGATGAGCTAGCGCAAAAAGCATATGATTAAAGTTGATCTGAAAAAACTTCTAAAAAACCCAAGGGAGTCTGAATTTTAACTTCCCAAGATCATAAATCAAATACATCCCACACTCAATTTTCCCTTTCATGTCACATAAATTCTGAAATACCAAGTAGCATCATACGAATTAGTGTATTTTTATGGAAAGAAACTTATAATTATTTTTTACGTTTTTAAAAGATATATGCTAAGTTTCAGCATAACAATATTCTTTTGTCAACATTTCTTCCCTGCTCAGAATTGAGCACAACACTAAGATTAGATTATGTACATAAATAATAGTGTTTTAACCCATCCCTTTACTTCAGTTTTATGTAGAATTAAGAGATCACTACTTTACCCCACCTTTATCATCCTATCTCCGCATTTATATTTGCCTAAATACAAACGCAATTAGAATGAGAGGAAATTCTGATAATATCTTAAGAACATTTCCTCTTCAACATTTTACAGCTTTATTCACACTCAGGTAACTATTAAAAGAAAAGTAAGTAATTCGGAGCAACTGTTATAGTCAACCTTTACAAAGAATGCACATATTCAGTTTTAAACTGCACAGAATAAACTGATTGAAATTATTTAATGAATAATCTCTGTAAAAAAAATGTGTTCATTAATTTCATCTGGACATAAAGATCAAATGGAAAAGGTTCTGACATCTAACCGCATATATGTAGTTATGAATATAAATTACAGAATAAATATTATTTCAGAATCTTAACAGTCACCTTCTGAGAATATTTCGTATTAGCATTTTAATATTCACTGCTTTCATAGTAGTATCAACATTAGACAATCAAGAAACTAGATCTTGGGCCCTATCTGCACAGGAAAATTGAAGTATAATTGAATTACAATTTATAAAGTAAAACCAGCTAGCAAAAGTAACAATGTCAGTACATATGTAACAGTAAAACGCTCAGTATAGCAATTCAGCTCTGCACTCAGTGGTCACCACAGGCTGGAGCTTGTCACTGGCTTTTACAGAGGCACATGCCATTATGCCTTGGCTAATGTTATTATCCCTCCTAACCAGATTAAAGGTAGCATTGATAACCCAAACAGTGGTGTAATTACATCTGTGTTCACCTGTACAGGCACAGACAGACAAGGCCAGTCAGAACAAATAAAACAAATCCAGGTCTACTCATTGAATCAATATTCTTTGGCAACAGCAAACAAGGTTTATTCAGTTTTGAAATCAACTCTGAAAAGCAGCATGGCCACCCCACAGCCCTTACCAGGTAGCGCCTGGCACTCCTGCTGCCTCTGGTCCCACTGGCAGTTCAGGTGCAGGGAGCAGCTCTTGCAGCTGGTCAACTTATTGCAGATCTGTTCATTTCTCACGTGACATTTGGTGTAGTTTTTAACTGACTATAAAGATAAAACGGACAAAACAGGATCTCAAGCATAAGTCAAACTATTAAAAAGACTGAAATACAGAGCAGGTGGATCCCTCCCAGAAAATCATGGCCACCTAAAAGCCAGGCTGAATTTAAGCTCTTTGTCCAGATTCCTTTAGCAGTTGCTCAAAGTAAAAAACGCATCTCTAGAGCACAAATCACCCCATCTGTTCTACACAACTATGAGTGTCAAACAGTACTTTGAAGAGGTCAATTCCCTGTACAGAGACCAGTAAGAGCTTAAACAACTAAACTAAATCTCTGTTTCTAAGATAATTACACTCTCACTAAATTATTTCATCCTATGCAGGTTAAAGAAAGTATAATAGTCAAACAGAACTTAAAAATGCACAAGGCACAAAATAATTACATATCATTCACCAAAGCTGCAAGAATATGCTCTACACATGACATAAAACCAGGGATAACATTATATCTCTGTTACCTCAGTATACAAGCAAAGCAGTAACACTGAAGGAATTATTACTTGGGGGGTTTGGTGGGTTTGGTGGGGTTTTTTTCTTTTTTTCCTGAAAACTGAAGTCTCCCTTTCCAAGTTCGGCATTTTGGATACAAATCTTTCTTCCCTGTGCATAGCACTTTTAATTAAGACATGATATTGATATTGTACTTAATGAACTGCTCTAAATCCTCAGCCAGTGCATCAGCTTATCCATAAGGCTGTCTCTACCAACTTAATTTCACAGTAATAATTAGAAGTAAGTCCTAATGCAAGACAGCTTTATACTCACAGAACCACAGAGTGGTTGAGATTGGAAGGGACCTCTGCAAGTCCTTCTTGTCAAACCCTCACAACTCTTGTCTCTCTCTAATAACAAAAGATTAAATTAATGCATAGCAGCAAAAATGGATTGCACTTGGATTGCAAGTGCATGATTTACTGAAAATTTTGGTTGCTTTCCATTCTAATAGTCTCCTGGAGTATGATTAAACAACATATTAAGGGACAGTATGACAGTAAGCTACACAGTTGCTGGTACTGGAATATGGACACTGATAGGGAAGAGGGGGAGGCAAAAAGTCTCCTTTTATTTTTATTTTTTTTTCAAAGTCCTGAAATAATGCAATCGTTATAATGAATTCTCAATCTCACACAGAACCAGCTTCATTCCTGGTGAAGAACACTGCTGTTTAGGGACCTTATTGTATTTTAATTTTTTGCTTTTATTGGATCAGATGCTCACCAGTAAGCTTATTATAAAAGGTACTCACTATTTTTTTGTCCTATAAAAATGGCTACTGTGAGGCAAAAAGAACCAGAGAAGCAGTTCTAGTAGAAAGCATCGACACCACAGTACGAAACAGAGCCAAAGATGATGCCATCAAGTAACAGAATGTCTATCTACGCCAATAAATGCATACAGACAGTAAAGCACAAAAACCTTTGGTACAAACCCACGCTCAGTTCCACTCCATCGTGAAGCACACTCACAAAACTCCTGAGAGATGCTTTGAAGTGAATTTTAGAGCCTAAGTAACCATCATCTGCTCCCCTACAATATCTCAACTAATACTCACCTTTAACACTTCATGTTGACATATCCTTAACATTCAGATTTTTTTTAAAATTACATGCTCTTCAGTGGTATTACACACAGATTACAATTTTCCAACTAAACCAAGATATTTGTTATTTTACTTTCTAATCATGAAGCTTGTTATGTGCTGGTTATTTAATGTTTAAAATAAAATTCGAAGTAGTAGTGACTATTCTATAATAATGTTCCTTCTTGTATTCCCTTATTCCCAGCACTTATTTCCCTTAAATCCAATTTAAACATTGCTTGCCTGAAAATCTCATTAGTTCAATGTAGATGTGAATCCAATAGGTAACTCATATTAACACAATATTAAGGTTATAACTTAAGCTACCAAACTCAATGAAATTTAAAAAGATGACAGCCCATCTGTTACAGAAGTGCTATATTGCTCTAGGATATTTATAATGTTCACACACCAAAATATGAGTAAATCATGTTCTGTATAAAGCTTCCTTCTTATGTCTGATTTACTTAGATCTTTTAAGTAGTGACCCTGATATGGTGATATATAGACAGACTTACGGACTACAGTGATTTTTCTGAATATTTACTGTAGAATGAAAATACTACAGGAGTTTATCTTAGAATCTCAGAAATTGCTATTCAATTATGTACCTCTTTCCTCCCCCTGGACTTTTCGGGTTAACAGTACACCTTGTCTAGTTTGTCTAGTCCAACTGTAAATTATTAACTTGTAGATTTGTATTATTTCTCTGAAACTACTCCCAAAACTTGCCACTGGATACTCCTCAGTAATAAATTTGATTCTATTCATATTTCCTTCTACTACTTTATACATCTCCTCTTGACTATTCTTTGAATTCCTCAAATGTTGGCAGATTGCTGTAATTATTATTATTTGTATTAGTGTATCACCCAAGGACTCCCATCATGAAAGAGGGCAATAACTTTCTGGAAGCGATGCGAGCATTACAAAAAGAAAATTATTCTTGTCTTTAAGGCACTGTATAAAAATATTTAACAATGTAGGACTATAGCTTTCTTTGAAGCATCCTCTAGGAACCCATATCCCTAAAGAGGATGTTCTTTATCATACCCTTCATGGGTTCAACGATGCTTAGTTTATGTTGCCACACTCAGATATACAATACTTATACATCACATACCAATTTGTGTTGTATTTAGATAACTGACATCAGCTGGGGCTTTATCACATTGCATGTGTGGAGACCAAGACAATGAAATTCAGAGACTGGTACTGGGGGTAAGAGTGTGGTTGGTCTCAGAGAAGAAACATGTCCCTTTTGGAGCTTCTGAAAGCAATAAGGCTTTCAAAAATGTAATACAGAGTGGATGCAGAAACACTTCGGCTGTGCCTCTTCCCATCACAGTCTCTCCAAACAGGAAAAATCACATGTACTCCACTTGAAAAGACACATCACAGACCATACTCTGACCAAAAAGATATTATGTTCACATGCTATTGCCAAGTGTTCTTGATCACATTTGAGTAAGTGTTCTCCTTTTACTCTGCCCTCCCCTATGTGTGTTATAGTAAAAGAGTAGATTTTATAACAAGCTTAATCTGAAGAGTCAGAATAAGAGCTGAAATTTTATAAGTGGGGTTTTTCAATTTATTTGCAAGCAATTCTATGGTTTTGAAAGGAAAACACTACTTTCCAAGTAAAGTTTAGTATTATATTACTGCTGCAGTTCAAGCCTGCAGAATACTTTCCTTAAGTAATTAAGGGGACAAGTTACTTTATTTGCAATCTTTTAGTGTGGCAGTTAATATTCCTATAAACTGAAGGATTATAGGCTAACAATGTAGACAACCAGTGGAGCACATTGTTATAGCTACCCCATCTCCACTGATTACTTCAGTTTTTACTGTAGAGGAGTAAGACAATGGGATAAGGAAGACATTCTTTATTAGTTCCTGAAGTGCACCCCTCAGGATTGCTGTTTGCATGTGGAGTTTGGTGTAGAAATAGGAAGAGTTATTTTGAGGGTATAAAGAATCAAAATCAATTTCTTTTAGTAACTAGTGCAAGCATTTCCAGTCGTTTCCCAAAGAAAAGGGTGAGGAAGGAGACAAAGAAGTGGGTTAGGGAAATTAAAAAAAAAAAAAGGTAAAATAAAAGACAAAAAAGGGAAAACCTTTAAAGTTCTTTCACATCATAAATATCAAAAGGAAGTCAAAATATCATCCAGTAACAACTTACATGTGCACAAGATAAATATTTTTACATTTTTCAGCCTATAAGTCTATCAGCACTTGAGCAAATTGGAACTGTAAGTGGCATGGTACATGGCCAAACCCAGCTCACCATCTCTTGCATAAGCACAGTTTAAGGAAGGCTGGCATGCAAAAAGCACTCCTGTACTTTCAGGATTTCAATGCAATCACAATTTTCAAAAGTGCCTACATATGCCTGAAAAAAACAAAACAGCTTTATGGCCAGAATGTGGACTTAATATATTGCTATCCTTATAAAAAAGACTACTCAACATATTGGGGCTCTCTGCCACTTTATCAACTACTATTTGGTTCCATTTCTGAAGAGGAAAAAAAAAAAAAAGGATAAAGCAAATTTTTTACTCTAATATTCAAGCTTTCTCAGGTCTTCCTTAGTAAAGGAAACTTCGCATTTTGTTGCAATTGGTCAGCCCTCTTCAGTCATTTACCATTTTATTTCTCATAAGGTACAAAAAGATTTTGCTACCATAGGGCAGCTCCTCCCTGAGGAGCAGATCAATCCTTTGTTTATTTTTCCATGCAACTATATCTCAAGAAAAATGACACCTTGTAAAGGTGCAGCAATCTAAAATAAAATTGATCTCTCCCCAAAGCTTTTTCTTTTTTTCTTTTATTTTTTTGGTAAGGACTTCTGAGAATATTTCCATTATAAATTTTAAGTATAGTCAAGTTTCTGCACAACATCAGTAAGGGAGTATCATTCTCACAAGATGTGAGACATATGCAGACATACAAAGTGAATACAGTTTCATAAACATATTAAGCAGATTCAGATCTGGAGATTTTTGTCTATATAAAGAAATAGGCAAAATGCTTCAGAACTAGTGAGGACCAGGAAGACACTTAGGATATTACAGAGTACAAACGAAAGTGTCAAAATGCAAAATCAATGCAACAGACTTAAGGACAGTGAACTGCTTGTAAAAGTCAGCATAATCTACTCCACAAAAATCAGAAATATATCACAAGCAGGACACAGAACTTTGGAGAAAAAAAAAAGGAAGGAAGATG